AAAGAAATGGTTTTTATATAAAAAAAGGTTTTCTAAATGATGTAGACTGTGAGTAGTTAATATTCGACATAAGCACCGACGATACACGCAATATTTGTGCTTGTTTTCAGGCCCAGTATGTCGACAATTACTATCCAATGACATTTTAACAAAAGTTCAGACATTAACAAACGAAAGTCATAAAAAGAAAATCGAAGATGATATTGAAAATGTTATGACAAAAACTATATCACCGAAGGTTCGTTTATGGCAACAACAAATGGAAATATTGTACCAACAACAGAAAGAGAAAGGAGGAATAATAGATTTAGAAAGAAATGATCTTGTATTTTCCTGATATGAAAATAAAAATATTCTCTTTCGTGTATGGGTTGTTTTTGTCAGATGAAGCAAGCAGAATAGTAAGAATGGTTAGTCATAGGCAGGAAATTCCACAAGATAAGTCTTACAAAAATGTATGATTTTTAGCTGATGATGAAACTAGAGTGAGGTTTGAATTATTTTATTACAGTATTATTTATCGCAGTGCAGCGCAAAACTGATGTTTTTCTGGAAAACTTTTCATTGGCTACCATATTTATTATTTTAATTAAAATTTTATCATATTTTTCTAAATTTTTCTCTTCATTCGAAGAATATTACTCATTAAACAAGACAAGCTTTGTCAGAGAGACGTTTCGATAAATGTATTTCTCATTTAATATGAATTATATCTTGTTTTTGTTTCAGATTAAAAAAGAAGGATTCTGATTTATCCTCGTCATTGCTGTTGTGTTGTTTATCCTTTTGATTTTACATTGAAGAAGAATGCCGAAAGAAGGGAATGTTCTACCAATTTGGGGTAATCGTGAAAGTATGAATTTGAATCCGTTAATATTAACAAATATACAGTCGTCACAATATTTTAAAGTTAACTTGTATGAATTAAAAACATATCATGAAGTAATCGATGAAATATTCTATCAGGTAAGTTAAAGCTAGTTTTTTTAATAAGATAAATTTAAATTTTGTTCTTTTAATTTTGATTTAAACTCTTTTTATTGAAAAAGAAAGTCAGCAGTCGAATCGGATTATATTCATTACGTGATGTATTGATAAAGAGGAAAAAGGAAGAAATAAAGAAATAAAAATAAAAGTAAATAATAATAGTAAAAAAGTGAACCAGTCTAAAAGGAAAAATGAACTCATAAGATCTTTAATGAACTGCATTATAGTGTTTTTATATTTCTTTAACTTTTTCATCTTTCAATTCAATGTATCTGAAATTGGCGAGAAGGAAATTGATACTTCATGAAATTTTTCTCCTCATACCAGAAACCAAAATTTGCTGTAATTTTTTACAAGATTGCCGATAGCTTTTGTAAGACCAAAGGAAACGCTTAACGGTTTCTTCCATTATGAGCAACTAAGCTATATTTGAAAAAAGATCAGTACTCAGCTGCGAAAAATTAATTATTAAATGCGTGAAATGTATATCATTAATTTTATCGTTTGTATTTTTAATTCTCTAGGTCAGGCATTTGGAACCATGGGAAAAAGGCAGTCGTAAAACACAAGGTTTAACTGGAATGTGTGGAGGAGTGAGTATTCTAACGTTCCATTTTGTTTTACTTTTTTGCTATCGCTTTTGAATGAAGAGGTAGTTCCTCCATGTTGTTGGTTCAGATGTTTTATGACTTTCAGGTGCGGGGTGTTGGTGGTGGTGGTATTGTGTCAACAGCTTATTGTATATTATACAAATTGTATACACTGAAATTAACAAGAAAACAACTAATTGGATTAATAACACATCAAGATTCACCCTATATTCGTGCACTTGGTTTTATGTACATAAGGTTAGTTTTTCAAAAGAAATATAATTAGAAAAGAAATATAATTTGTTGTGAATTCACTTAGATATACCCAATCACCATCAGATTTATTTTCCTGGTACGAAGATTATCTTAATGATACAGAAGTATGTGTGTCCATACTATTTGTTGATGAGGCTCTTTGTCCAATCGTTCTTTCTTTTTTAAACAACTAGGATATGGATGTGAAAGCGGGTGGCGGATGTATAATGTCTATTGGACAAATGCTTCGTCAATGGTTAACACGTATCGAGTATGTACTAAACAGTGTAATTAGCTTTTGTATAATTGATTCAATGTTTTATTTTAGATGGTTTGATACATTATTTCCACGTATACCCGTACCATCACAAAAAGAGATAATGGATAAATTAAAAAAACATGGAGTTTATAAAGGTGATTTTAATGATTCGACGAGGTACGTCAAGACGGGTGAGAAAGTAAGCACAAGACTTGAGACTCGCCCTTTATGTAATTTTATAGTCTTATAATGATATGTCGGTTTTGTTTTATTCTCCATAGAGAGCATGAAGATTTGAATCGTAATTCACCTTCAACGAATTTAACTCCAATAACCACATCATTTGAAATGCCGGAAACATTTGGAATTGTTTCGTCTTCATCCACAACAGTTAGTGCAACACCGGCGGCAAATGATCAGACAAGAAAACGTTCGTCTTCGGCTGAAAAAAACGGAAATAATCATTCTTCACATATGAATAAGAAAAAGAAACACAAGTAAGTGTAAGTTGTTAAACAAACAAGTAAAAGATATTGTTTAGATGCGTTTTTTTAGAAGGAGTCAGGGAATTGCGATACATAATTTTATTGAGATCTAAAATAACTTCGGTGCAGACTGCAGCAGTAACTATTTGTATAGTTCAGAGAAAAATCTTAGTCTGGATGCTGAAAAGTCAAAAAACGTTTGAGACTGCTTGTAGAAATTATCTACTTAGTTGAGAATTTTTCTAGACATTCAAATAAAGTGAAGAATACTTTCTTTTTTCTTTAGATCCACAAGATCGAGATCAAGATCGAGATCACATCATCACCATC